CCCCCCCAGCCTCAATCGCGCCTGTCGCAGTGGACGCATCCCAACTCTATCGAAAGCCTCTCTGGAAGCTCCTCTCCTCTGGAGCCCAACCTGGGCAAGCATGGTGAGAAAAGAAATGGCATCCTGGGTAATTCAAAATGAGAAGTCCCCACCTGATCAAAACATTTTGAACATGTCTGTTGCTGTTGACAACCGTACATATTTGTTCCCAAAATAAGTTCCCATGGGAGGCACCAGAAGGGGAGGGACTTTGCCTCTCTATGTCTCCATCTCTAAAATCCCAAACCTTTCCCACTCTTCCCCATTGTTAACCTCAACACTTGGATGTTTTTTGTTTTCATTTCACTTCTCTCAGGTGCCAACCTGGGACCCCCTGGTAAGCCCCCTCAGCTGGAGGACTCTTACAGCCCCTACAACTTGATGTCCAGCTCAGAGTCTCCTACCAGCCCCCTGGTCCCCCAAGACAGCTGGGGGCAGGTCAAGAGCACCAGTGATAAGATGGCCAATGGGACCAATATCAACTGGCCACCAGGTCAGAACACTTGAAGAACTCTTTATTGATGGTTTGTCGTTGGAAGCCAGATGTTGATCACTGTATCACTTAATCTATACACAAATATAGTAACCATCCAGGTAAACCTCACCAACCCAAAACTGATGCCCGGTTACCACCTGGTTGTTAGCAGCTAATACAGATATTAGATAATCAATAAGTAACGTTTAATATTATGCTGTGGTTTAAAAGAAAAAAACATATGTAAACATCTTAATTTTGGTTTTCAGAGTTCTGCCCCGGTGTGCCCTGGAAGGGCCTCCAGAATATTGACCCTGAGACCGACCCTAACGTGACCCCCGGCAGTGTCCCCAGCGGGCCCACCATCAACACCAACATCCAAGATGTCAACCGCTACCTGCTGCGGGACAGGAGCGGAGGTGAGAGCCCGGTTTAAGAGTTTCAAGCTAGTCTTAGTAAGATACTAAGTAGGATGTTTTTGTGTAGTGGTCCTGAATTATTGTTTTCATAGAGCAAGCCCCCATGTATTTAAAGTTAACTTAGAATGGTCTGACCGTATCATGCAGCTGCCGCCCCCAGAGAGCCTGCTTCCTATTCTTTTGTTCTTCATTTTCCTACTTTTAACTTTTTTTATAATCATTGTCTTTTCTTCATTATACGCTTACTCTCATCATTTGTCGTGCATTTTTCCTTTACTCCATTTTCTCTTTCTGCTACTTTTTCCTCATTTGTTTGTGTTTGTCTATTTTGTTTGTGTTGATTGCATCGGCTTAGGCTCCTCTCCCACTCCATCTCAGAACGAGGCTCTGCCTCCGTCCAGTGATTGGCCAGTCAGTGCCTACACTAGCTCGTTCAGTCTGTCGTCCCCGGAGTCGGACGATGCAGGTACATGGTTTATCCATAACCTTCTCCCCCCCACAGTGCAGTGGCTGAATCACTGCACATCAACGTTATCCTCTCCCTCCTTCTACCGTAACAACCAGAGCCTGCACCACATCTCCTGTCTACACATTCTTCTGATTGAATATGATCCTCTTTTGAGCTCCGTCTCAACTTTGCCTCTCATGCAGTGCATATCTCCCCTGTGGTGTTATTGTATCTAGTGTTTATCCTTCCTCCTTGTGTGTGGCATGGGAAGTGCTCTCCTTTGCATAAATATGAAATAACTTTTAAGTACTATGCAGGACTCCCTCCTGTGGGAGAGCAGCTGTCTTTTGGTCACTTGGCTGTGCAGGTCAACCTTTTCACTCACTCGTTTCCATCCAGGTAAACTGTCGGAGATGAAATCTACTTGGTCTCCGGGCCCCATATCTCACAGCCAGGCCTCTTTGTCCCACGAGCTGTGGAAGGTCCCACAGGGCCACCGGAGCAGCAACACGGCCCCTTCCCGACCTCCACCTGGCCTCACCAACACCAAGCCTTCGACCTGGGGGGGCAACTCCCTGGGTCTGGCCCAAGGCTGGAGCAGCTCTTACACAACAGGTAGTCTGATAGTATATATATATATATACTATCAGACTACCTG